TGACACTTGTATTGGAGGACCGCCGCCTCGGCGCGCTCGACAGTGCGATGACAATACTTTGGAGGCGAATGTCTGGAGGCAGAAGGAGTTGGACTCAAGAAGATGGTATGACCAGGTGCTACGCCAACAAAGAGGTGTTCAAACAACGGAGGAGGCCGTGCTGTGCTTCAGCGCTGAGGATACGCAGACTACGATGGTACAGGCAATAGGCGAAGCATCCAGCGGATTTCGGCAGTGCATTTGCAGCAGTATTTGGAACGTCGAATGTGGACCGCCTGTGCGAAGTCAGGAGATTGGAGAATGGGTGGGCACGTGAGTCGTCTACACCCTGGGCCAAGCTGGTGGTCTGGAAATTCAGGCGCTGGCAGAGGTTGGCGAGGACGTGGCAGGCTGGTACCGTGTGAGGCAGTCGGAGATCTCTATGTTTCAGAAGGGCACGATGGACTGGGAAGCGTGGATCGGAACAGACCCCAGCATGCCAAGACATGCAGGGCGCACTTGGTATACCAAGCTACAAGAGATAGAAGTGGGAGAAGAGTTGTTCGCTCAGTATTGGTGCGGCAAGGAAGTGGGGGAAGCAGGGCAGGTGTGCAGAGCGAGATTCACTGCTGCGGCGGCGTTGGCGGCGCGCGGGAGTGGCGCGCAGTTGTCTGCCGCTGATCCCCAGCCCAGCGGAAACAAATCAATGTACATGGTGCCTGAGCTCGTTCGCGACAGAAAAAAATGCGACCGACCGTGTCGTGAGGGCCGCGGGGAGTCTCTGGATTTGCTACAGAAGCAAAATTTGTTGGAATCACCCAATCCAAGACTTCCCTTGGTTGCGCCCTCATCGTCGGGGGGGTTTCAGATGCCCTGGCCCGTTCTGCGTGAAAGATGGCGATTCCGCGGAGACCGCCCCCGCCCAAAAGAGGAGCAGGCGCGGAGATGGACGGAGAACCGAAGCACTGCGAGGGCGGCAAGGGCAAAGGCAAGGACTAGTGGGCAACGGAAGGGGCCGGCGCCAAGGCGCCAGGAAGCCCGCCCGCGGCGGCGGCCGCGGCCGCAGGAGGGGGCAGCAAGGGAAGGGGTTAGACCGCAGACCCCCCCGCCAGCAGCCACAAGCAGCGGAGGAATACGAGGAGCACGACCTCAGAGGATGCATCAACGGACTCCAGCGATTGGCCCTCCGCACAGCGGCAGAGATGAGGGATGCGAACCACGTGACATCAGACATCTTTCTCATGCCAGTCAACTATTGGGCGTTTCGGAAGTCGTTGGCAGCGGGGCAGAACTACGAACGCCAGGCCAGGGAGAGAGGCAAGGGGCGCATGCTGGGGCCGCCAGGCATCGCGCGGGGATGGCACCGATGGAGGGCATCCAGGAACTAGTGTCGGGATGGCATAAAGAAGACCCTACAACAGTGGCGGCGTCGATAGATCGGCCGATGGATGCGCCGATCGACTTCCTGAAGATGGTGGGCAGCAACAACGAGCACAGCCAGGCCATGATCACAGAGACGATCAAGATGTGCAAGGTCAGCAAGAGCTACACCGCCCGCAACAACAGGAACCCGAACGAGGACGAGCAGCAGTTCTGTGAGGAGGGCCCAGGCAAGATCCAGATCGGAATCAACGAGACGCCCAATTTCAGAGCAGCGCTACCGAGGGACACGAAAGAAGAGGCCATGGCGAAGCTGGACCAGTTCTCGGGCCACAACCTGAGGATGGCAATGGGTATGCTGATAGTCTTTGTGGGGAGCAAGAAGTCCCAGTCGGCGGCGCCCAAGTCGGAGTCGGAGAGGATGGCGGGGCGGGAACTTCAGCGACGGCGCCGCTGAGAGAGGAGGGGGCAGTTGCATTAGCAATGTTATCTCGGAGTGCGAAAACCCACTGGCAGAGTGCCAGGCCGCAGCTGTCGCCGACGAGCACGTGCACTGCGCCTCCGACGGCGTCGGCATCGAGTCCTGAGGGGGCCGCCCTCGGGAGGCCCGCTCCAGGGCAGTCGGGCGTCACAGGAGTGCCCGACAGCGGACGGGCGAAGAGGGGGGGGGGCATTTTTCGGATGGCGAAATGATAGCGGAGTCCATCAGCATGGACACTGAACGCCTCTCTAAACTTAGACGTTTTGCCCCAAATGGCGGGATATACGAACTGGCCCTAAAGTTTCGAACGCAACGGGAAGCGGCGTTGCAGAGAAACGCTTTGGGAAGAGGCCCCCCTGGCAGTAACTGGCCTTCCCGTCCCTGTCAGTTGCCGACATCATCTTTTATTGCGACACGATGCTGATCTTCTTCCTCCTACTCCATTACAGATACGGAGACGTGGCGGGCGGGGTATGTTGCATGCTGCACAACGTGCGCGCAATGTAGAAATGGGTCACGGGCAATGGGGGCAATGGAAGCATAATGCCAAGTACCGCGCGATATTCGGGGCAGATGGGCAATACACCACAACCTCCATCGATCACCTTCAGCTCCCACAACCAATCTGGCTCAAAGACGGCCCAGGTGCGCAGTGTTGCCAACTGGCAGGGTTATCTCGGAGTGCGAGACGCTGGAGACTGCCCGTGGCCTTCACGGGCAGCAGTCAGCCATTGCCTTGCGAGCGCTGCAACACGGGGCTCGGGTACTACAGGATGATCGAAAGCCACCCCGGGGGCGCGCCAAGAATGCGCCTGGACATGACACAGATCAAAGCGGCAAGGGAAGACAATGGAAGAGGGTGCGCATCGACTGCGAGCTGGAGCTGAGGCAGGACGAACTGGAGCGACGAGGAAAAGATGAAGCATGGAGGAGAGCAGTGCGTTACGAGAGAGTAAGCCTGCCGAAAACAAAAGAAGAAAGAAAAAGGAGCTGAGTGGGCAGCCCAGTCCGTGGGGCAGATCCAGGCGGCGAAAGAGCTAATTGAGGCAGAGGAAAAACCAAAGAACAAGTCTCGCAATCAGAGGAACCACATGGTCATCGAAAGGTCCAAGGAGCTGTCAAAGGCACTGCTGGAGGGCATCAACATGAATGGGGTCATCTTCGCAGCCTTCAGCAAAGCAAGAGTAAGCATGGCCGAGGCCTTGCGATGCGCCAGAGAGTACGACGCCCTGCTGGACGAGTACATGGCCATGGACGTTAAAGAGGAAGACGCGATGAAGGCCACCAAGAAGGAGCTGGAGGAGAAAGAGAAGGAGCTGCGCGAGATGGGAGACTACAAGATAGCGACGAGCATGGGGGATAAACAGACAACGTACCTCAAGGCGCTGGACTTCGCGGACACGTGGAGCGACAACATGCAGCTGTTCAACGTATGCAGAAGGATCAACGGATGGGGCAAACAGAAGGACGGACTCGCATTCCCTAACAAGTTGTGGTGGCAAAGCCCCAGCCCCAACTCAAGGGAACCCCAGTGGAAGTTCTGGTGCAAAGCGGCCTGGACGCAGCTCGTGAAGGGGCAGGAGAAGCATCCAGAAAACGAGCTCAGGAAGGAGTGGGTGGACAACGACTTTGGCGAGGACAGCGATAAGTGGCCAGACATCGGGTGCAAGTCCGTGTTCCAGTCGTTCAGGAAGCGGCCTTCAATGGTGGTGGGGCTCAAGGTGGGAATGAAGTGGGAAGCGCTTGTAGCGTAAAGGCTGCCGCAGAAGCTGGACGACGGCATCGAGGCAAACCACTACAAGTTCTACGACGCCGCCCAGAAAATGAGCCCAGAGGAGCTCCTCTAGCTGATCCCAATAGCCGTCCCGATGACGCACAAGGTCGACGGATGCAATCTCATCTCAAGGTATCCAGTGGACGTGTGGGAAAGAGCTGGGAGGAGGGCCTTCACTGTGCAGAGCTGGTGTGAGTCGGCGCTGCAGATAGCGAAGAATGACGAGGATAACCTCTACAACGTCATGAAGGTTGCCTTGAAGGAGCTGAGTAAGGAGGACAATCTCGACCCAGAGGAAGTGAAAAAAGGCTCAACACGCGCCAAGAACTACGGGGCAGCACGAAGACCCTGCTGGATGGTACCGAGATCTTCGAGAAGTGCGCCAAGTCGGAGGAGGCGGCCACGGCCAGCTCCAGCGGCCGCAAGTGAGAGGGCCCACTGGAGCCCACTGACAACGCCAAGAGGTGCATTAGCGAGGTTATTTCGGAGTGCGACTCTAGGCAGGCAGGCAGACTCAATGGGACCATCACTAGCGGGGCAATCTCGGCGTGAGGACCCTTAAGAGAGAGCTCGCGCAGACAACGTCTTGGGACGTAACTTTTTGGAGCGCCGACAGGTATAAGACTGGAGGGAGGAATGGCAAAAAGGTGATAAGCACGAAGGCCACCAGGGTGCATCCACGAGGGCCCCACCTCCAACATGCCATAACTACCAGTATGCTCTCCCCTACCTACACATCGAAGGGGAAACAGTAGGATACTTCAGCAGGGTATCAGGGTACAGGTACGACAATGCATGGGACAACTATCGTCAAGTTCGTTCTGGAAGAAAACTGAGCCGAGAGAGAGAGAGAGGAGAGAACAGGACAAAGCAGGATAACTAGGCCCTCCCAGATGAAGTTTGGAAAGCAGAGGCCTCCTGTTTCCCCTTGCCTTCTCCTTTTGACTGGTCGTGTCGTCGTCTCTTCCCCCCTAGCTTGGAGGCCCTGTTCGCCCAGCGCGTCCCAATTCCCAGGGCACGCGGAAGGGCCAACAGCTGCTCCCCCCGCACTGACCCGCAGAGACTCGTACTCACAAAGTAGCGAGCCTCTCTTGCGGGGCCACCTCGGAGTTCGCCCCTTGAAGTTTCCAGGTATGCCCCCTGCCGGCTCTAGTGAAAAGTCAGGGTTGTTGCGCAACCAAGTCGCAGGGGATTTTGCAGACGCGCGCAAGACACCAGTCTAGGTGAGTTTACGTTGACCCCCTTATGCGGATGTCCTGTCCTGTCCTGTCCTCAATCTAGCCTCCCGCGTAGCGAAGTGATCAAATACTATCCTTTTCTTCTTCCTCCCTTTCCCTGGCCCGCCTTTTGCTCCTCCCTGGTCGCACTCCTCCCCCTCCGCCCCTCCTGCAGCGCCTCCGCGCCGCTCAGCTCGGCGGCGGCTCTCTCCTCGGCGCCGGCGGCTGTCGGTGCGGTCGGAAGCCGCCGCGGCCGCTGGCGCTGGTCGCCGCCGCTTGGCGCCGGCGCCGCGTGTCGTCGTCGTAAAACGAACACCCAGCGGGCCTGCGGAGCTGATGATGAAAATGCTGCTGCTGCTGCGGTTGATGATGATGATGATGATGATGATGATGATGATGATGATGATGATGATGATGATGATGATGATGATGCTGATCGTGCTGCTGATGATGCTGCTGATGATGCTGCTGATGATGATGATGATGATGATGATGCTGACCGTGTTGCTGTTGTTGATGATGATGATGCTGAGAATGATGACGATGATGGTGATGTTGATGATGACGATGGTGATACTAATGATGAAGATGATCATTATGCTGCTGGTGATGATGATGATGCTGATGATGAGTGCGTAACCCTTTCAATGCCACAACAATGGTGCTATGTGACCCAGCTGTTAGCTCGAGTGCCGCTTTGCGGAAACAGGTGTAGGTGCGAAAGCATGGCGCGCAGCCCGGCGCGCGGACGAGGCGGCTCCCCTCCTGTGGCTGGCCCTCCGCCCTCCTCCCGCCCACGTCCCTCAGCGCAGGGCGTCGTGGTGTCTGAGCAGGCAGGCGCGCGGGTGGAAAAAAGGGGGAGGGCGATAGGGAGGGCCCTGCCTCAAGCGGCAGCCGCCGCCGCCGCTGCGTCGGAGGCGAAATCCCTCCGACGATGCCCCTCCTTCTCCATCCGTGTTCTTGGTAAATAGCTCCTCCCTGTGCACCACCAGACGTGCCGGTAGAGTGGGCCGTGCGTTTCGCCTGAGACTTCCCCGCCGTTTATGATCCATGGGGGTCGCGCCAGGCTCATTGGGCTGGCGCCAGGTTTATGCAACTAGTCAGATATATCGAGTCCAAGAGCGGATCGTTTCCCAAACGGGGTCTCGCCCGAATGGCAGGCCCATGGGTAGCTCGCCTTTCCAGGGGCGCTTCCCGCAGTGGACAGAAACGCTTGCATGGACTTGCGAGGATGGACTTGGGACGGAAGGTGTAGTGCAACATCGTTGGTGCACCTTGGGCGTACTCTGGCCCTGCCCCTCCCGTTCCTCTTTCCCCTCATCAGCCCGAGCCTCGCACAGTCCGGCGCGATCCCTCTGACCCCTCTCCTATCCGCAGTGGGAAGGTCCCTCTGGAAGGAACACGACGCCGAGCAGTGGCCGCTCCCAGGGGAAGGGAGGGGGGGGCAGGGGGGGGGGCGTGTCGGCTGGAACCGCCGTGATCCCCCGCCAGCAGCGTCCCGCAACGCAGCCGTCCCCGACCCCTTGGCGTCCTCCATCTCCTTCGCCGGCTCCTTCCTTCTTCTCCTCTCTCGCTTTCAACTCCTCCTCCCTCGTCCCCGTCTCCTCCTCCTCCTCCTTATCTTCCTCCTCCTCCTCCTCCTTCCTCCCCTTGCCTCCTGCCTCTTCTTCGCCCAATTCTCCTGTTCGGCCTCCAGGGCTAACAATCGCAATGACGAGTGGGCAGCGACGACGAGCAGCAGCTTCCCAGACCCGAGGAAGTCATGTCGTTTTCATGACGTCGACCCCGAGAGTTCTCGACCCATTCCCCGGCACATTTGTTTCATCCAGAATCGTTGTTTGACGGCCCCGAGGCCCAACAAAAATCCCCAGAGACACAAATTAAGAAACACCTTCCGTCATGTTGTGATTCTTGACTCGAGGGGGTCTCGGTTCACGGGTGTGAATCATGATAAGAAGCGAGCAAGCACTTAAACCCAGCTGAGACATGCAAGGCAAGGCTGCAATATCCTCGGACTTCCATGTGATACACTTTACAAGTAGACACATATTCCCTTCCATTCCCCATGTTTTCAAACATCTGACTTGAAATCGATGTTTACTTGTGTCTGTGCCTACTTTCCTACTGGCACTCAGACGGCCAAACTTGTGCAGGACGGGAAGGAACGTCCAGGATGCAAGGGCGCCCTTGCAAGCGCATCCGATCGTTGAGTGTTTCTCTTTGACGGCTGGCGGCGCGCACCAAGGGGGTAGGGAGAGGGGGGACGTCTTCTTGGAAGGAGGCTGCTTCTTACAAAGCGCCGGCCTGATATCTACAGACAAGGCCCGCGCCTTCTACGAAACAGCCTCCTTCTAGGAGTCTCCCCCCCTCCCCCTACCCCCCGGGCCGAGACTCTGCAGGCGACGAGGAACTCGCCAATGCCAGCGGGAGGGGCGGCCCCGCCCGTCCTGGGAGTCGACGCGCCCGACTCCCAGAGCGATGGCCGAGAGGCGCTGCGCGCGCCGCAGCTCGCACCTGCGATGATTCTTTGCCGCCGCCACCTCCCCACATCCCCCTCTCCTCTTCATTCGCTTCAATCGTCCCTCCTCCTCCTCTCCCTTCTCTTCCTTCTCCCCCCTCATCACCCTCCTCAGTGCTCCTCAGTCCTCCTCCTCCTCGTCCTCCTCCTCCTCCACCTCCTCCTCTTCTCGCGACCTCGAAGCCAGTCTCGCACAGGTGAGGGCTCGGGGCGGGGCTTGGACGCCTCTGCATGCCTCTGTTTCTTCTCTTCTTCGCTTCATCACTCGCCTCTTCTTGCCCGCATCCCGATCCTTACTTTTCTTCAGGTCTTGAAACCGCGCCGTCCTCTTTAAATCATAGTGCTTGTTCATGACAAAGCTGTACTGTGGATGCGAGCTGACGAGCTCCTGGCGCACACCAGCAGCAGCCAGCGCGCTCACAAACAAACAAGTAATCAAGTCGAGTACGGACAGCGCGTGTCGCACGCTGCCGCGTGCCCCCAAACAGGGCTCGACAGATGGCAGCCGTGGCTGCCGCCCTCACCGCTTGCAGAACTCAACGTAACCATCTTCCAGCAGCTTCCAAGTATCCCAGCTTTGTGCCACCGCAATCCACGAGGAAGCGCCAACGGGCCTGCCTGCCTTGCCGGTACAAAAACCTGCCAAAGCTGTCACACCACCGCGTGAGCGGCCGCGCCTGCGCTCTGCAACCTGTCAAGGACCAATCTAGCATCACTTTCGTCCAACGGCCGTCGTCCCGACGGGCAACGTGCCCTGCCCACCGAAACTTTCGCCTTGAAGCCTCTTCCACCCAGTTGCGAACACCGTGCTCCTGGCTGACCTTGGCCGATGTGCGTGTCGAGCGCACGATCCAGCGAACCCAGTCCTCTGAACTCTTCCCGCCCTCCGAATCAATGACAACACGCCTTTTCACACCAACGACCAATCGCAACATTTTCCTTTGCAGCCGATTGATTACGGACTCGCGCTTCGATGTCAATGTCCAAGAAGAACAACCATGGAGAAAAGTAGGCTGAACGACAAAACTAAATAGTCGCAGTCGGTACGATAAAAGATAACACGGGTCAGTCAGCTCGTCCCGGTACGTTGAAAGCTTCGCCCAAGCTTTCGCAACTCTGTTCTTCAGCTCAACGTCTTGGGTATTTGTCAAACTGAGAAGCTTTCCCAAATACATCGCTGCCGCGTCTCCAACCAGCACTTCGAAGGTGCGCGACTGTATCTGCACATTGGTTGCCGAAGCTCCCCTGCCAAAGCCGTTCCACATAATCTTTGTTTTATCCTCATGCTATCCTCATGTACCTCTAATCCAAATTCTTTGGCTTTGCACATTAGGTCGTCCAACATGTATTTTGCCTGATAAAACGAATCGGCCACCAGCATCAGGTCATCTGCAAAACGTGAATTTGTCATTCTGCGTGACATGTATGTCTTAACGCCCCACCGGTATTGCTGACAGTTGTCTTGGCGTCCGCGCATGAGCTTCTCCAGAGCGGCGTTAAACAAAACTGGGGAAATAAGATCACCTTGTCTCACACCCCGCCGTATTTCTTACACTGGGTGGGAAGAAACTGCAAGGCAAGCGAACCATTTTTCCGACCGCGTTCATCTTGCACACAAGGTAACCGCATGCAATCGATAATACAACTTCCCCCTTTTTCCCTCTGAGAATTGATAATCCGGGGCCAAGACAGTGGTCGGGGGAGATAGGCGGCGAGGCCGAACTTCAGTATCACCAGGGTACGGATCGACATTGCTACCTTCTTATGTTGAGTAACAACAACATCACGAACGTGTAGCAGATCCATCGAATTCTCGCATTTCAGCTTTCCCGAGTCACGACAGCGTGGCAGGGCCACGGGGATCCTCGCCACTTCAGCTTTCCTAAGCCACGAACGCGTAGCAAGGCTATGGGATTCTCACGATCCCAGCTAGCCAAAGTCACGAAGCTGAGGCAGGGCTAGAGATTCTCACCACCTCAGCCCTTCCAAGTCAAGAGCGTGTGGCAGCGCACTTGGGTTCTCACCATCTTAGCTTTCCCAAGCCACGAAGATGTGGCAGGGCCATGGGGTTCTCACCGTTCCAGCTTTGCCAAGTCACGAACGTGCGGCACGGCCATGGGATTTTCGCCATTCCATGGCCGCCGCATTTTCAGCATTTACGCCCCACACAACGGCAAACCACACGAGGCCAGAAGAGAATTCCACCAGCCCTTATCCGAGACATCTCTGGACGTGGAGGGCCACTACTTCTTGGGGATTTCAATGCCAGGCTGCACAGGCAGTTCCCGTGCGATTTACCACACATTGGGCCGTGTGTTTTCGGCTGCCCGTCTGCGCAGCATCATCCGAATTCTAATCGCAGTCTGCTGCTAGAGCTGTGTGGGACACACGGGCTACTGGTCAGCAGTGCGTTCTTCGACCACTCGCCAGGGGCGCAAATGACGTGCTACAAGCGTCGGTTCGAAGCCTTCCGATCCACCTCGTCCAGAACATTTTGGCCAAATCGATGTTCAACTTTGCCCTGAGGACCGGCAGCAGTCTGTCAACGATGTTCGCAGTCGTGAGGATGCGGCCCTTGCGTCGCACCATGTCCTGCCCCTCTGCTGCGTGCGCCTGGGCGTTGAGAAAACCACCCGGGAGCGCAAGGAGAAACCCGACTTACAGGCGCTGTCTTGCAGCAAACTGGCGGACGATGTCAACGCCGCATTCTCGGGCAAACTGGCAGATTTAGATTCTGACTGGTGTACTTTGAATGAGTTGAACAAAGCGATGGTAGTTGCCTTCGAATATGCTGCGGGGGAATGCCTGCTTACAGTTCTGGCAACTCGCCATCGACCATGGATGAGCAGTGCGACCCTGCAGCTGATCACGCGCAGAGGGGAAGCAAGGAGGGATGGGGACTTTGACAGAGAAAAACGACTTCACGGCATGATCAAAGCGTCGCTCACAGCAGACAGAGAGAAGAGGCTTGACGATCTCCTCGTCTCCGGGGATTGGTCCGAAATTCGGAAACTGCGGAAAGGTTTGGTGGCGCGGCAGGGCCGCATGAAGGACTCGAGCGGAAGACTGGTGGACAGCGATCAGAAGGTAGACGCGCTCGCTGATAATTTGTTCCAGCTTTCAATGGGCTGTGAGACTCGTGGCCAATGTCGAACACGATTCCCCTATAGGAGCAGTTCTCCCAGTCCCAGAAGGCCCCATTCTCCCAGAAGAGGTTCGCAATGCTGCGCGAAAGCTGAGGAGGAACAGGTCTTCTGGAGGCGATGGCGTCCCGGGGGAGTTCTGTAAGGCTATCTGCACGCCAGGTACTGCGGCTCTCAAGTCGGCTACACTAATATGCAACGCGTGCTGGACTGATAAGACCGTGCCGGATACGTTGCAAGAAACAGTCGTCATCGCGCTGTTTAAGAAAGGCGATGCGGCCGAGAGCACCAGCTATCGGTCAATCGCATTGCTGCCAATTGGATGCAAATTGTACGCGTTGGCTCTCCTTGGCCGCTTGAAGGACGCAGGTGCCGAAGGCAAAATCTGGGACGCGAAGTTCGGATTCCGATCGGGACACGGGCACCACGGATGCGCTGTTCGCTGCTCGCAGGTTGATCGAAGACACCCGGAGTTCTCGATCTGGCAAACTGGCCCTGCTGGCGCTGGACTGGGCCAAGGCTTTGACAGCGTCTCGCCAACCGCCCTGGTGCAGGCGATCGTCCGCTTCGGCATCCCTGGGCACTTCGCCGAGGCAGTTCGAGCCATCTACACGGATAGGTCTTTTCGAGTGAGGGAGGTGGGCCAGACGTCTGAGCCATGGCCGCAAGCCGCTGGTGCCTCCCAAGGCTACCCTTTATATTTATCGCCGCTCCTGTTCTCAATCGTCATGACGGCCCTCATGCACGATGCGAGCCGAGTTTTCCGAACACACGGCCTAACGCAAGATGCCAGGATACCCGTTAGCGAACTCATCTACGCCGACGACACCCTTGTCGTTGGAGCCAGCGACGATTCTGTTTCCAAACTGATGGATGCGATCCACTTCGCAGGGTCTAGCTATGGGCTCGCCTTCAATCGGAACAAACTTGCAGCAAAACCAACTGTTGCGAGACTGCTTTGACGAAGCCAAACGGCGCCCCCATCCCAAGCAAGGACAGCATGGTCTCTTAGCAGGACTCTTCTGCTCCACGGGTCAGAGTGGACCTGAAATCAGCCGTCGGCTGGGCATGGCCAGCGCTGGCTTTGAGACGTTGTGTAAATTGTGGAAGCACGCGAGGCTGCCCCTCGACAAACATCCAACAGTTTTTGACGCGCGTATAATATCTAAGGTGTTATTTTGTTTACACACTGTTTGATTTAACGGAGCAGCGCAGCAATATCGATGCTTTTGCAGGTGCGTTGCCTGCGCCGGATTTCGGGCATCAAACAATCGGACATAAACCGCAATAGTAGTGAAACTGTTATACAGCGATGTTGCGCTCAGAAGCTGAGCGACATACTGGCTCGCAGGCAGCTGCAACTCTGGGGATTGCCCTGATGCCAGGGAACCGCCCCGTGCGCAGGTGCATTTTCCAGCCAGGTACTTTCCAACTCGTGCAGGCTGGGATTCGCTGGAGGGGTCGGCCCCGCAACGCGTGGAAGTTTCAGGTGTGCGGCCTTGCTTGGCAGACTACTGGCGGCGAGGAAATCTTGGCACGCCTTGTGAAATCAAGAGGCAAACGTTTAACTTTGATGCGCGAACTTTATGATTCTGGTTCTATTGATGATTTTAGTAGTTGCGCATACTCGCCTCCCGCAGCCTACCCTCCAGGTGGTGTCGTCGCTCCCACTTCCGCCGTCCTGCGTTGCTCTGCTTGCTCTCCCTGCTGCTCGTCCCTCGGGCTGTCGCCCGGGCTACGCCCCCCTCCCACTCCCCCCTGTCGTCCCCTGCCGCCTGCCCTCCTCCTCCCCCTGGCTCCGGGCTCGTCCTGGACCCTGGGGGTCGTTCCCTCCTCTGCCTCCCTGCTGCGGT